GTTTTTAGATCCTTGTATCTGAAAATTCTCGTACCAATGAAGAGTCATGCTGAAAAAACCACATTCCTTGAAAAGATTTTAAAGATCTGTAGTTTCAAAAAAATCTTTGCAACCAGGGAAACTTTATTTTATGGTCACGAACAACAACTTGGTGAAAAGAAACTTTGATATTATATTCTCGAAGAGGAGAACAAGTGGAGAGTACTAAGATCATTGAGCCATGTTGTTTACTCCAAGTGTTCATGAGTTCCTTTTTAATTTTCATAAACTGTGAATCAAAGCTTACAAAACGTGTGTTTTTACACTGTTGTAAGTTTGGAGCCTATATATTTTTTGTAATTGTTGAAAACTGGGTATAGGTTTTTGTATAGCCTATGAGGGGTCCAAGAGAAGTGTTTGTAATGTTTTGCCGAGTACGATCGTAAAGACCAACCTTGCTCGGGTCGTCTCTCGAAGGAAGGTTGTTCGGACACGAATTCAAGCAACGATTGATTCACAAGAAAGGAAAATAAAGTTCCTAAACACTCAAATCGCAATTTTGGTGGTTGAATTACGCTAAAGATCACAACTTTAAAGCAAAAATGAAAGCAAGATGCAAACTCTATACCAAACAAGCTCTCAATTTGCAAGAAAAAGGAAAATAGAGAGAAAAAGAGCTAAGAACCATATGACCTGGAAAGAAGGCACTCATACGTTTGATGTAAGGTAACTTAAGATAAAAGAAAAGTTAAAATAAGTTATAGTAATTCGTAGGCCTAATAATCAAAACCAAACTTGAACATGCGTCAATACAAAACACAGATTTATGCCAGATAAATTTGCAAAAATATGAACCTGCCACATAAGTTCAGCACATTGGGGTATATAATGACTACTAGTACAATACTTGTATACTACACGAGTACTTGTTAAGAAAGTTATATTTATAATAATAATAATAATAATAATAATAATAATAATAATAATAATAATAATAACAATAAAAATTATTTTAGTTTTTAAATAATACTAAAAAATAAATTATTAATTATAATCAAAATGACGCCGTCACTTACACGACTTACCATCTTATATTATAATTTTTTTAATTTATATTAGATAACTAATTTGTAGTTAAGTTAGTATAAATAATTTTATTTTTTTTTGAATTAGTATCAATAGTTAATTAAATTTTAATTATAAATATAAATAAAATTCTTATTTAGTTTATATGTAATAGATGTCAAATCAAAGTTCATGAAGACATGAATAATTTGAGATATTATATATACAAGTTTGTTAATAAATAAAAAAAATATTAACTTATATATATATATATAATTTATGTTATTAAATTTGTTATAATTTGAAAAGAAAGAATGAAAAAAAATTATACCTTATAAGAAATATCATTAAAACATAATTATACCTTATAAGAAATATTACATTTATGAATATTTCAAGCCTAGTTACTATTGGTATATAAATAAATTAAAATTCATCCAAACCAAACAATAAAGTTTAAAAATTTACTATATAAGATTCCGAAGTGTGCGAACGGCAACTTAGACTCAACACAATTGGAAATGATATAAAAGGGGATAAAGGGGGATTTTACATCCAATCAGCCCTTACATTTCCTATGATAAGAGCATCTCCAATGGGCAAATATTGTTGTGGTAAATTATATTCCACATCAACACATTTAATAAATTCACCATTTTTTCATCTTCATAGAATGTGATCACAAATGTTGTGATGATGTGGACATAATTAATGTCTACAATGTAGAAGAGAATGTGGTTCTACACTCTAGCTAACCAATAAAGTAAAGAGAGAGAAATATTCTTACCTAATTATTTAATTAAGCTATCTAATTATTTAATTAATTTTATATTTTATTTTTAAAAAATTAAATATATAGTAAGTATATAATATTGTAGTTAGACTATATTGTGCATTTGAGAGAATTTTTTAATATACTTAACATTTTTTTTACATGGTGCACAATCCATTTAGGCTCCGTTTGGATGGAGTGATTTGGACATGTGAATTTCAAATTCTTAGGCCCAAATTCTTGGGCTTGTTTGGATAACAATAAAAAATGAAGGATTTGAAATCCATGAAAAAGGCCCAATAAATTTTACTCGTTATTTCAACGATTTCAAATGACCCAAAAAAACTGGTCATTTCAATTCGCGGCAAAGTCAAAATCACGTATCACAATTCACAAGCCCCAAAATCGATCCTCATCTTTTCTCTCTCTCTCTCTCTCTCTCTCTCTCAATCCAATCCGGTGAAAGCGCTCTTCTCTCGATCTCGATCACAAGCCCTCTTCTCCGTCGATCCGGTAAAAGAGCTCTTCTCTCAATCTCGATCACAAGCCCTCTTCTCTGTCGATCCGGGGAAAGCGCTCTTCTCTCAATCTCGATCACAAGCCCTCCTCTCTGTCGATCCGGTAAAAGCGCGCTCTTCTCTCCATAAACACAAAGTATGTGTATAGATCTTATGATAGATTGCCTTTGTTTTATGTGCTTTGTAGTTTTTTGTGCATAGGAGCAAAACTTTGGACCTGCTTTATTTCTTATTTACTGATATGGCTTCAAGAATAAAAGGATGCTTGATTTTGTTTGTGTGGCTAATACTAAGAGAACTACAGGCTATGTGTATAGTAGATAGAATAGTTATAAGGTTATGTATGCTTTTCCATAGGCAAATGTAGGCCATGCCGAATAACTTTGCTTTTTTCATCCATAATAGACTCAATTGTAGTGTAGCATTTGATTAATTGGAGCAGTGTCATAAAACAGAGGACTTAATAGTAATATAATGCTACATAACAATTCAAATAAAAGCATAAATCATTCAATGGTATAATCTTTTTGTGTCCTTCCTGTTTTGAGCATATATTTATGTGTCAAGAATAAAACTGCTAAAGTGCTAATCACGTGTTTCAGTAGGTTGATGTTCATAAGTTCACCATTGTATATTTTTGTTATTATCCTTTGAGGTAAGTTTTTCCGTTTAGTATTTCCTTTTGGTGATAAACATTATAGTGAATGAATTCCTAGAAATGATGGTTATCTCGATAACTTAATTGTCTATCCTTCTCTAAGTTTTCTTGATGCATCCAATATTTAAGAAGATAATGGAATTGTTAGGAGGTAGCTAGTGTGAGATATTGTCATTGCAAAATTAGTTTATTCTCCTATACATGTCACTTCAGTTATAAAACTGGTTAATTGTTGATGGACTTTTGGAGTCAATAACATACCCTACTGAATTCTTGAATATCTTGACTTATATTATTGATCTGGAGTTAGCTTAACAAATTGTGAAGCTTAACAATATTTTATCATATTTTATTATATTGGTGAGATTAATCTTTTTCTCTCTTTTTCTTTTTTTAAGAAAAAGAGTTCACACTCTATAGTTTATATTGATCAATTAGCATGTATCCAGAACACTAGAAGATGAGAATCAATATGTTCAGGTACTTGAAGAATCTAAAGTCTGAATGCTTGTTTCGTTTGCTTCTTCATTCTTATGAGTTTGTTTTAATGTTGTGTGATTGCACGTGTTATTTTGTTAGAAATGACCTCTAAAGGTGGCATTGATTTAGGTCTGATGCACCAAAAAAGTCACTTATTTCTCAAGCCTTAGGCCTTATATTGTCTCCTTTGTGAAAATATATGTGAAAGGAAAAAAAGATCCACTGAAACAAGATGTTGGGAAAATTGATGAGAAAAAATTTGAGGCTTGATTGAAGCTACTCTTTCTAGAAAGAGTTGATTTCTTGAATGTTATTTTTATATTCTTTTTTTTTTTATATATATTTTGTTACAAATATATAGCCATTTATATTATGTTATTATTATTTTTTTTTTGTTAATGATATTGGTTGTAGATTTTCATTCATATATAATTAATAATGCTATTAGCTTTTCCAAATATATTTTAAAAATGTCTCCTTGAATGTTAATTTATTCAACATACTAAATCAGGAGTTAGAGTACTACTAAACCAAATAGGTTCTTATTAATATGAACAATTCTAGAGAAATCATTAACTTTTAATTAATATATATTTTCGAGCTTATGTGTGTGTGAGAGATGGAGATAGATGAGTTAATCTACTTTGCCGGACTAATTTACCAAATTAGGTATCGACAAAATTAAACAAAGGGGGGATCAAAAAACAAGTACAAGTAGAAAGATTCAAACAAGGATTCGAAAGATGTGCTGATTTTGGTAATATTATAACGAGAAGAGTATGTATAAGTTTATCGAGTGTATTTTTACTTACCATTATATAATTAATTCTGACAGTCAACTCAAGCATGACTCAGAGATAGAGAGGTACATTGGTGAAAACAGTCTTTTAATGCTTTTCAGAGAAAGTGTTGATATTGGCAGTAATGATTTTGAGTTCATAATTAGTGACTTGAGGATCAAAATCGTGTTATAAAAATAAGTGGCACCATCTGAGAAAGATTCCAACTCAGATATCTCATCCTGGATCTTTTTCTCCTCATTGTGTAGTGATTGGATGTAGCTAATTGCATCTCTAATGATTGATGCCTTGTCCATCTGCATCATATGTAACAACTAATTAATTAATTAAGTATATATAATTAATTCAAATGGGCCCATTTTTATTTTTTTTATACATATATGTCCAATTTAAGTCATTAAAAAAGTTAAGGACAATAATTGAGCTGATTATTTGTTGATGAGTAGCAGAGTACCTTAGTAATGTGGGACCACAGATCTTAGTGCATAGAGCTTATCATTCAGCTTTTTTCTTCTCATCCTTTTCTGAGGCTATGTTCTTTGATTATATGACAAGCTCGATATGGGTTATCCTACAATCTTTTGAGTATGTGCTGTTTCAATCTACATATTATATTAAAGTGCACATCAGGCAGATTATATGTAAAATTATAGGTATGATAGTAACTATTATATATGTTAATTTTCTGTATGCAGTCACATCCTGATGCAAAAGGGATGCAAAATAAAATGATAGAAAATTGGGATGACATTGTTCTCTTATGTGGAAGAGATAGAGCAACGGGTCAAAATGTTGAAACTTTTCAAGAAGGTAGTGAAGCAATGGATGAAGATGTTGAGATTGAAGAAGACTTGGCTCCTAGTTCCGATTTCAGAGCACGAGCAAGGACATCAAGTTCAGCAGATTCGAACTTAGAGAAAAAAACAAAGTTTAAGAAAGATTCACTGGCTGAAGTGGTAGGTGTTATTGCTACTTCATTTCAAGAGTATCTGGCAAGGAAAAAACAAGAAGAGAAACCAAGTGGCGTTGCGATACATGAGGTTGTATCGGTTATATCGGGGCTTACTAGTGAAGAAGTGTTCAAAGCTGTCCGCAAGCTAATGAATAGCGATTTAGAGGAGTTCAAATTGTTGAAAGCCCTTCCAGAAGAAAAAAAAAACAAGAGTAGATTTATTATCTCATCAATTCTTAGTTGTCTCAGAGTGGATTTATTATCTCATTAATTCTTAGTTGTCTTTGGAGATGCTCATTTGCTAAATAATGCAAAAGATTGCCTTGCTATTTGTTGGAAACAATGATGTACTGTGTTCAACTTATGTGATTTGCTTTCGAATGCTTTAGGTGAATATTCTGTGATTTGCTTTTGGAATGTTTTACGTGAATATTGTCTTGGATATGTCTTCATGATGCAACTTATATCTATGGAGAAATTCTTATTGGCAGGATGTTGTAAATTCAACATGTCTTGATAAGTGATTTTATCCTTCCTTTTCATTATTTGGGTATGGCATTTGTGAGATTTCATTTTACATGATTTGAGTGTATAATATCATGAAAATATGTACTAATAATGAAGTTTTAGAAAATGATTTATTTTTTATGTTAGTTTGTAAAAAAAAATGTTCTTATGGTTTGCCAAACAATGAATTTGAAATTCATGGATTTGAAATTCTTTCCACAAATTCACCTTAATCCAAATAAGGGAATTCAAGGTAATGGATTTGAAATCCAATAAATTTGAAATCCTTTCATTTGAAATCCTTTGGGATTTGAAATGACTCGATCCAAACGGAGCCTTAAGTTATTCACATTTATCAAAATTTATTGGGAAAATTTCACTTTTGGTACCCCAGGTATACCTACTTTTCGGTTTTGATACCCTTGGTTTCAATTTAATCATTTCAGTCACTCAAGTATTCAAAATCCATGATTATTGCTCAAATCGTCAGTTGATCGTGAGTCAACTGACGGCCACCTTCTCTAGCAGGTCGTCTCCTTCTGCAAGTGATAGAAAATGGCGGGGTTCTCCATTACAGCACCACAAAGCTGCAGACAGTGAGGGGAAAAAAAAAAGGAATTTGATTTGCAATGAGCAGTTCAAGAGGAAGCTCGAGCTGGAACTCCGAGATTAATGGTGCTCCAATGGAGATGACTTGCAGGTGTGGAGATAAAGTATACTTGAAGACCTCCTGGACCCAAAATAATCCGGGAAGAAGATATTGGGCATGCCCTAAATATGGGGTAATTAATTATTCTGTTATGCAATTGTGTTTTCATTTTGTTTCTAAATATGGTAGCATGATTTTTTCGAATGCCCTAAATATGCCATAAATCCCATTTTTGCAGCACGAGCAAAGAGAAAATTGTATACGATTTTTGCGGTTTTTTTTATAGCATAAATTGTTTTCGAATATGTTTTCGAATTGTGTGCGGACCAGTTGTTATTTGTGTTTGTGAATCTTGAATCTGCGCGCTGAAAGGTTGGTTTTTGTTTGATTAAACTGATGTTGTTTTATATGATTGAATTGATCTGATTAGTGCGATCCCTGTACTGGTGAATCCATTCATTATTTGCTTGATTTAGTTTGTTGAATTGTTAAATTGTTAAATTTAGTTTGTTGAATTGTTAAAGTTCTTGCCGTGATTTAGTTTGTTGAATTGTTAAATTTCTGCAATATTGAAGCTTCATTTAGTATTTTTTTTGGGAATTTTGAATATATAACTGTTTTTGGTATCTGCAAACTAAGAGTGAAATTTTCGCATGCCCTGAATATGCCTAAATCCCATGTTTGCAGCAAAAGTTTGGTTTTTGCGGGTTTTTTATATGGTATGATCCGGAAATTTACGCAAGAGCAAAGAATATTATACCTGGTTTGCTGGAAAAATCAAATAAACATCAATATCAAATTGAGCAATACAAGATGAGGAATGCTGAAATGGAAGCTCAACTCTTGGTGGCAATGAAAAAAGTGGATGACATGAACAATGCATTGGTTGAAATTGAGCAATACAAGTTGAAGAATGCTGAATTGGAAGCTCAGCTGTTGGTGGCAATGAACAATGTGGATGACATGAACAATGCATTGGTTGTGTGCAAGAATAAGATCAAAAAATTATGGGCTGCTACCATTCTTCTCTCATTATTATACCTTGTCAAATTATGTTCTAACTAGATTTAGATAGTTATGGTTGGTGTAATTTGAAGTACTATTATTATGTAATGCTTTACTTATGCAATTCCTGTACCATTTTCAGTATGAATATTGTTATGCAAAGAATGTACCATTTTCAGCATTTGATTTTCAATGAGTATTGTTATGTATTTGCAATATGAAGAAGACTCCTAAACCACAACAAAACCTGAACAAAAACTTAACAAAGGTTCACTTTGTTACCAAACATTGAACAAAACTTGAACAAAGAGTCATTGCAAAGGTTCTAACCAAAGTTTCACATCCATTAAGGACAGACAAAGAATATCAAAAACTGAACAAACCTAAAACACATCCAAACCAAAGCTTCACACCAAAAAAACATCACTACAGAACAAAGGTTCTATTCTAGTGCACACTACAACAATCAATCATGTCCATAAAACAACACACAACAGTCTGTCAAGACAATTATCAAAACATCACAAACATGTCCATACAACATCACACAAGATAATGTATTTCTGTCACAATAAATCAATACAAATGAATACATTCTCCATCTTCAGCATATCCTCAAATGGATTTTTGTCCCTCATTTTGCTTTGAAGTCCCCTGAGCAGCAGCAACAGCTCTTAAATTTGAAAGGGTAATGTAGTTGACACCTCCCTTCACAATGACTGATCCAGTTCCAGAAGATGATTGCATCATCTAAAAGTAGAAAATTTGATTTATCAAGCTTATATATTGTATACATATATATATATATGAGAAAAAACAACATGCACAAAAGATAAAAAAATAAATAAATAAATAAATAAAAAAAGAAAAAGAAAAAACAACTTACATTAATTGAAGACACTCTGTTTGTGCCTCCACTTAAGTTTACACCACCAACTGTGGCAGACTCTCTCCTCCTCTTAACCTATTTTGTGCAAAACAATTACAAATGACAGTGTCATTCCAACATAATAAAAGTTACATGTAATTGAAGAGTGAGATTGAATAATAAAAGTTACAACTAATCAAATCAAATAATACTTTCATCAAATTATACTTACAGGTAGCTTTGATCTTTTCTGAGACTGAGAGTGATGCTTAGACTGAGAATGAGCTTGAGATTGAGCTTGAGACTGAGACTTAGATTGTGACTGAGAATGAGTGCCACCCATGCTTCTTGCCACTGGAGTTCTACTTTCAGACTGTTGATTCTTGCAAGTTCTAGAGTTGTGGCCTTGTTTACCACACTTTCCACATTTCACTGAATTTTGAACTTTTTTAAGCCTGGTTTCAGAGGATGGAGCAGGAGGCTCATCAGGTTGTCTCCTCCTCAATTTTTTGGGCCTACCAGGCCTATTTTCATATATTGGTGGCAAAGGAGCTGGTAAATCACATGTAGGCCACAATTCAGAACATGAAATTCCCATGATGGCATTTTCATATGCATTTCTGTATGTGTTTTGACTATACAAGTCATCAACATAGCACTCAGGATCTTCATGTCTACACCAAATAGCAGCACATGCATGCTTACAAGGAATTCCTGTCAAATCCCATTTTCTACAGCTGCAACTCAGTCCAGCAACATCAACAGTGTGTTGATCATAAGGGCCTATGATTTCAAAGTGCCAATCATCACTTTCATTGGAATACACTCTGCACCATCTTTCATGTTTTTCTGAAGTATCTTTTTTATTCTAGGGCAGATCTTCCCAGACCAATTTTTAGCTACATCTCTATTCACTTGCAGTCTTGCCATCAATAAGTGCCTTATTGTCTCAAGCATCACAATGACTGGCTTGTCCCTTGCATTCAGGATGAAAGAATTGAAACACTCACACATATTGTTCAGTAAAATGTCACACTTCAGTGAAGTTTTGAAGTGAGACCGAGACCATTGACTAGGAGGTTTTCTTACCAACCAGTCATAAGCATTTGGATCCAATTCTTTCAATTCATTCATCTTTGCACTAAAAACTTCCACCCTAGTTGCTCTAGCTGCAGCCCACAAAAGATTTTTTATAGACTGACCAACAAAGTCATCTCTTTTCATGTTACTGTGTAAATGTCTAGCACAAAACCTATTTTCACAATTAGGGAACAACTCTTCAAAGGCAGGGATGAGCCCTTTCTGATTATCACTCATGAAAGTCCATGCAAGTTCATTATCAATCTCTAAATCATTCTCTAACAACCTCAAAAACCACAACCAAGAATCTCTATTCTCATTTTCAACTATTGCATAAGCAACATGAAAAATCTGGTTATTTGGGTCAACGCCCACAACTGTTAAGAGTTGACCACCCTGGGGGCCTTTCAAGAAGCACCCATCAACCCCAATGATTTTTCTGCAGTGCTTAAATCCTTTCTTGCATGCATCAAAACAAATATACAATCTTTGGAACACATGTTGTCTAGATTGCTCTTCACAATTGCTCAGTTTTAGAACAACAGTTGAACCATGATTGGACCTTAACAACTCTAAACAATAGCTTCTAATTGAACTGAATTGTTTTTTTAATGTTCTATCCAGAAGCATCATTGCTTTCTTCTTGGCCCTGTAGGCTTGTTGCCTAGAAATATTGGACTTCAACTTGGTACACAACATACCCCTAAACTCATTGACTCCTAACTTAGGGTACTTCTTAAATTTTTTCATGAAATTCTTCCCTATCCACCCAGATTTGATGCTAGGATTATTATAGTTCCAAGAACAACCTTTGTGGTTTTTCTCATAACACTTCACCTGCCAATATGAGTCATTTTGCATTGGTGAAACAAAAATATACCACCCACACCCCTCTGTGGTACACCTAGCTCTCAATCTTCTTTTGTCATTCCTATCAAAACGAACCACCATCCCTCTTCTATAGCAGAAACCTAGAATAACATCCTTAGCATATGATTTTGTACTAAAAATCATCCATAACTTCAACTCAGGGTTCTTTTCAGTTTTAGGATTATATTTAGGGAATTTCACAACATTATCCTCCTCATCAGACCCTCTAACACTTTCAAATGAATCACTATCCCCTAACTCAAGATCATGCTCTTCCTCAAATATACCCTCAGACAAAAACTCATTTTCAATTGATTTACCATTATTTTTTTCATTCACCCCAACAAATTCTGCATCTTTGTCAACATTTCTGTCAAACAAAATATCATCCTCATCCATATCATAGTCACTATCATTGAACTCCTCACATTCCGAATCACTATCATCAACAGAAGCACACTCTTCATTTTGTTCATGTTGTTCAGATTGTTCATGATGTTCATGTTGTTCAGATTGTACAAATTGTTCATGATGTTCATGTTCTTCAGATTGTTCAGGATGTTCAGGTTGTTCAACATTAGAGTTCAGACTACCAAGAAATGAGAGGTCAATGACAGGATCACTTTCAACCTCAAGATTAGAGTAGTTGTTATCAACATGATGTACATGTTCTAAAACAATTCTCACTATTCTGTTTTCAGGAATGAGGTTCATGACCTTATATGCCAATTGATCACTATCAATAATATGACTACCATCTTGTAAACTAATTCCATGCACATGCCAGGCATTCACATGATCACTGTTATAACCTAGTTGCTCTATAAAATCCTTTAACTCAATCAACCCAAACATCTCCCCATCCACCCCATCAAAATAATCCAAATACCCACCTCGGTATTCTTTCACAGAAATATGCATCATTAAACCACCGTGCAGAAACTCAATTGTGAAGACGGTTCCAACAAAGGGTCTACAACACAGGAAAAAAAAAAGAAAAATCAAATAAACAGAACTGAAAAATAATATGCATAAACAAATAAACAGAACTGAAAAACCCCTAATTTGTTCAGCTCATAATCGAAAAACCCTTAATTTGTTCAGCTGAAAAAAACCCTAATTTTCAGGGCAACTCTCACAGTAATCAGATAATATGGAACTTTTCATAATTAACCATACAATTTCCATTAATTCAAAAAAATTGTGACAAACTAAAGTGAAAAAACTTACCGTATTCAGGTTGCAACCCACGTATAATCCTTCTTGTCATGGAGTTAGATGGGCCGTCGCAGTTCTAAATATGCTTGTTGCAAATCAGAATATGCTCGTCGAAAATCTGAAATGGAAGCTCACAATACACCAAAACACCAGTCGATTGCCCACTTGAATGCGATAAATGAAAGAAATTTTTCTACAGGTAAAATGTTAGGGTTTTTTTCACAGCAATTAGGTCTGCTCGATTGGGAAAATTAGGGGAAACCGATTATTTAGGTTTCTTTGGGGAAAACAACCGGCTAGAGAAGGTGATGGTCAGTTGACTCACGGTCAACTGACGATTCAGGCAATAATGATGGATTTTGAACACTTTAGTGACTAAAAGTGGCTAAGTGTAAATTATGGGTATCGAAAGTGAAAAGTAGGTATAATGGGGTACCAAAAGTGAAATTTCCCAAATTTATTCTACAACACTGATGCTCTAACCGCGTGTTTGTGGGGCAGTATAAAATGTGTCAAAAGTAGTAAAATACACGCTGTAAGTGAGAAGATCATAGACGAGAAGAGAAAAATGGTGAACCACTTGTTGATGATTGCTGCCGATCTCGAGAATATTACCGCCCTTCAGCCTCAAGGTGGTTGCGATGATCCTAGCTTCACATACTATTTCAAGGTATTTTCTTCTCACATTTTTTTTTACTGCGGGTTTTTACGATTTGTTATTGCATTTGAGCTGCGTTTCTGGTTATATCTTAATAATCCATCGTTTGAACTTAGATTTTCGCTCGTCTTGGATTGAACTTGTATCTTATCACTGCTGTTTATGGCTTTGTACTTTTTTCTTGTCGTTTATGACACTGTCGATTGTGTGTATTTGACTTTTGTTTATTGATATTGTTTTTATTTTCTCAGTGGTGGTTGAAATTGTTTCATTTCTGCTCAGTTCTAGACTCATTTTGGATCAATTACCTACAAAAATGAGTCTAGTATTTGGTAACAATGGTACTATTATGCGTTTCTCTGTATCCATCTGCGTTATGTCTAGCTGTATCAAAAGCGAAATTACTGTTGATCGTCAATTATCCTGAGTGATCGCATCAAATTTCTGCTGATTCATGCCATTTGCAAACAATTCCCAAGTTACTCCTTCTTTTTTTTTTCGGGAACGATAAGCAAGTTACTCCTTGAGTTTTACATAGTTTTGCTTCATATTAATATACGTGCATGTTTGTATCTATCACTATGATTCCTTGCTAGTTTATTGTCACTGTTTCATTTTGGTTTTGAATTATTTTGTGTTTTTTGCAACTGACAGTGTGTTTTCGTTCAATGATAAAGTGTTAGATTTATAGAATCGGAGGAAGAGTTCTGCTGAGCTGTATTAAAGCAGAATTTTTGTTTGTGGATTGATTATCCCGACTGTTCACTTCCATTTCAGCTCATTTAGCTATTTAGAAACAGTTCTCATGTTATTGCGTTTTGCATATTTTAGGTTCATTACTGTGAATTTTTGCATCCAATCTGATTAACTTTCTTTTAGTTTAGAACTTCCTTGAAGCATAAACCGTGGTAAATATTGATTAGGTTGAAATTGATTCCTTTCTACTTCCTCTGTGTTCAAATTCACAGTTCCTTTGGCAAATAGCAATCCAATGTTTGGTATGCTGCTCAACTTACTCTTGCCCGCTGATAACTGTTTGTGTAGTCAACTTGGTTATCGGCAAAGTTGCGGAACACTTTTTTATTTGTACTCTTCAATGTGAAAACTCATGTAATTCCTGTTTCATCCGCTTAATAGGATTCGTTTAAATTTGTAATGAAATTTGCTGTGATCTGTCACTTTCATTTTTATATAACAGCAACTTAGTTGGAATTTTAAGACACCACTTTAGTATTTTGATTCCAACGCATCTCTTTGATCATATCCTCTCATGTTTTTGTGGCTATTGGAGAACTTTTAATACTAATCTCATTTATCTTGATTTGAACATTTCGCTTTGTTTTTCTATGTCAAGTTAAGGTTGAGCAAATAGAACTGTGGCATAGGTTCCTCAGTTTTATGGATAAGAACCTGTCTACTTCTTATTTGGATTTTGAGCTCTGTTGTGTACAACTATTATTCACTTTTGTTGCATTTTTCTAGCTGAAATGTGGGAATTGTGGAGAGGTGACTCAGAAAGAGACGTGTGTCAGTTTGAACGAGACAGTTCCTTCTGCGAAAGGCAAGGGTGACGTTCATCTTTCTCAGAAGGTCTAACTTCATTGTTCTTCCTCTCAAATGTGCATTCCTGCATACGAATTCTATCATTTTAGAAAATATATATATTGTAGAAACTGCTGCTGTCTCCTTCTCAATGCATGTTTAACAGGGATGATTATAATGCTACCCTTTTTGTTTGACCTAACCACCAAAAATAACGAATTATCTTTCGAATCTTGTGAGTTTCTCCTCATGATACTACAATCACCCCTCGAGGTTTTTTTTTTTTTTTTTTNTCCCTGTTTAGCTGGAGTTTGCGTCATAGAAGCACATATTAGAGGTAACTTGTAACTTTCAAAGTTTGTTGAATCTGTTTGTAAGTAGACTAAACCCCTCAGTGTAAGTTCTTTAATAACCCCTGTATTTATTATATATGAGCATCCAATTCTGGTAAAAACTTGTGAACTGCTTTAAATGGTAGTTGTATTTCCAGATTTAAGGAAGATTCTGAAATCTGTATTGGAGTTTCAAGTTGTTAGTGCTATTATTATCATCATTGTTAACAATAATAATAATAGTAGTAGTAGTAGTAATAATAATAATAATAATAATAATAATAATAATAATAATAATAATAATGAATGATGATGATGAAAAAGTGATCATATATATATGTATATATTCTTGTTAATATTATTCATGGTTTCATGATTGTCACTTTGGTCCCAGGTGGAGTGAGGTCTATTTCTCATGTATCTAGCTATTAAATGATTGTTCCTTATTTTCTCTATACTTTCAGTGTAAGTTTTGTGGTAGGGATGGAAACATAACAATGATCACCGGCCGAGGCCGTCCTCTTACTCTGGAAGAAGCTGAGGCTGGAAAATTTGCCCCCCTCATGTTGTTTGACTGCAGAGGTTATGAGCCCATGGATTTTGCATTTGGCAGTGGATGGAAAGCTGAGTCTGTGAGTCACTGAGTCTTCATCTCTCTCTCTTTCTCTCTCTCTCTCTCTCTCTCTCTCTCTCTCAGTCCTTTATATGCATCAAGTTATATGTCACTACTTTCTTAATTTTCATTATTTTAAGGCTAAAATTGACTTTCTTAACCAGTCTGACATATCTTTCAATCATTTTCAATTATCTTATAAACAATTCTATGTGTATTTGAGTAACTTTTTTAACGTATTCTCTCTTAAATTTTCAATTTTTTGCGACTTTTCTCGACCCTATTTGTGTCCCTTTTTTGTGATATCCTTTGCATTTTAGCTTCAGCAATTTCTGCATTTACCAGTGCAGTATGGTTCTGTATTAATCCTATTCCCTGTTTACATTTTGTTGATTTTGTTATGCATTCACACTCATGATACCATACTTTTTTCTGACTAGGATCTGGTGCATGTTCTTTATAAAATAAGAGGCTATTATAGTTGAACAATTATCCTCCCTACATTCGACAGATTCCTAAACTCCAAACCCTCTGTTAACATAGTCAAACCAAAACTACAGCATAATACATGTAATTCTTACAAGGTATGGTATGGTATGGTATCCCTCTAAAAATGATAGAAGCAGAGAATTATTTGTTCTATTTTTTGTGTTACTCACTTATTTGTCAACTGGCCAATAATTTTTATTAGGACATGGTAATGCCTTTTTCATTTTGGTATGTCATTATTTTTTATTTTTTCATTTATTTTTGTAGGCTGAAGGAACAAAGTTTAACGACATTGACTTGTCTGGAGGGGATTTTGCCGAGTACGATGAGAAGGGGGAATGCCCTGTCATGATCTCCAACCTTCGTGCAAAATTCGATGTAGTGAAGTAGGTCTTGACTTCTAATTTTTAACTTAAAAATAACTACGACTGGTGGGTGAAGTGCGAACTAACTACTTATGTTTACATGTAAAAAGTTGGTGGCTTTTATGAAAAGTGCAAACTCTTAACTATTGTGTGTTGCTCGGCTGCTGGGGTTCACTAGCAATGGTAGTTGAGACTTAATAGGTCGCTTGGTGATTGTTTCCGAGCATGCTAGTTTGTGCGAATGGGCATATATTGATTGCCTTAAATTCATGGCCTAGCTGGAAAATCCTGAAAGAGTGGTTATCTGTGCAAATGAAAAATGACATGGATGACATCTCTTTCTGTGACATACTCACAAGCATGATCATTCGAAGCCATGAGTATTTGTCCGGAAACCTTCTGGAAAAATTATAATAAAACCAAGTCTTACAGCCGGAAGGCTTACTAGCCTTTACACCAAAGACTACGGGAGAACCACACCAATGGTGGCCTAGAACGCAACTAAAATCACATACACCAAAGGCGAACACAAGGATTTGAACCTTTAGCATACAATCGGAAACCAACTAATACAACGAACAACTAAAACAATAAATACAAGGAAACCAACTAATACAACAAACAACCAAAACAATAAATACAAGCAACACACAAAAAGTAGAAAACACACAAATTGGATAAAACAAATAAGACCATTGAACCTAAGAATCTAGTCTTCTTGCTTTCTTGCTAGAACTGAGCTATCTGACCACAACCTGGAATTCATGCCACTCCTGAAGAGCAGCTTGCACAATAGCCCTCTCTAGCGTCCAAACTTGCTGAAAATTCAAAGATTCTGCACTTTCCAGAGCCACTATAATATGTATGTCGAAAGTTGGATGCGTGCTTCTGAAACCGCAGAATGATCTATGGCAAATACCTACAACCACCAGTCTCTAAAACCATGAGCAACTGCAGCTGAAGAGTCCCAACTTATAAATGCCACTTTCCACACAGTCTGAGCCCTCACACACTCAAACAACAAATGTTCGATACTTTCAGCCTGCTCCCCACAACAATGACAAACCTAATCCACCTCCAAACCCCTTCTTTTTAGATTAATGCTCACTGGCAAAGTGTCAGAAAAGTATTTCCACATAAAATGTCTTAACTTTTTTTTTTAAACATTTAAACTCCAACATTTTAGTCTAGCCTTCTTTGTAAAATTACTACTCTCAACTCTATCAAGACATTGAACTTCCTTCATAATAGAGGCATAGTGAGAGGAATCCACATGGAACTTACCATGTGTATCCAAAGTACAGATCCACCTATCTTTCGCTTTAGGGCCCAAGGTGTTGATTTTTAAGATAACAACACAATAAACTGATGTGAACATGCTTTGAATCAACTCAGTGTTCCATCTTTTACCTTCTTCAAGTAGTAGCTCCCAACCCATCACATTTGTTGTAAGATGTTCCCGACACTCAATTTGGGGCAACCATTAGTCAAACCAGAAACCCAAGGATCAGTCAGGATTCTAGTATTAAGATCATACATGATCTCCTTCCTAAAACATTGTTTATAAGAAGAAAACACCCCGACCCAGTTATTCCACATACAAGAGAAGGACTCTGATTTTTTAGCATCCACCACACACCCAGAGGAAAAATACATTTCCTTAAGACTTTTGCTAACAAGAAGATTGAGTTTAGTCAGTAGTTTCCAAACTTGTTTCAAGATAAGAGATTCATTGAAAATATTGATATCTTGGAAACCCAAGCCTCATAACTCCTTAGGGATAGTTAACCAATGCCAGGCCTTCCAGTGTATTCCTTGTTTCTGATCAGTATCACCAATCCACCAGAACCTAGCACCGAGTTGGGTATTCTTCTTGCAAAGTCTAACAGACAGGCAAAAACAAGACATAACAAATATCAGGAGAGCATTGATCACAAACTTAAGTAACACTTATTTCCCTGCGAGGGAAAGAAGCTTGTTTTTCTAACTAATTAGCATGTTCCTCACTGACACCAACACAAAATCAAATACCTCTTTTTTTGACTTCTAATCCCCAAAGGTAGCAAAAAATACCTGGAAGATCTACACACTTTAATCCTCTCCAAAGCCTAACAAACCCCCTGTTGCAACTGGTTAGAGGAGTTATTTCTAAAAAACACAGAGGATTTCTGAAGAGTTTCTTTCTGGCTTATGAACTTCTGATAATCATGAAGAATTCTCAACAACAGATTGGCATGAGCTAAATCAGCAGTACAAAATATCATAGAATCATCCGCAAACAAAAGATGAGTTATAACTGTACCCCTTCTAGTAATGCTCAACCATTTAAACTCACCATCTCGAACTACAACATCAATCAATCTAGATAGCAGCTCAGAAACCAGAATAAATAAGTAAGGGGAGATAGGATCTCCCTGCATAGCCAGGCACTCTACCATTCACATTAAAATAAAATGATGAGGAAGAAATGCAGGCAAGATCTATTTAACAAATGTAGAGTTAAAGCCCATTTTTAACATCATTTTGATGACACTATTCCATTTCACTCTATCATATGCCTTAATCATATCCAGTTTCACTGCCATGTAGCACTTACCCCTAAATCTATGCCTATTCAGATAATAAAAAACTTCTTGAGCTAAAATTATATTGTCTAATAGTTGTCTTCCAATATAAAAGCAAATTGGCTATCACTCACACATCAATGCAAACAAGCTTTGATTCGAGCAACTAAGATTTTGGCAATTATTTTGTAATACACTCCACATAAACTGATTGACATGAATTGACTTAAAGAAGTTGGATTCAAACACTTTGGAATGAGAGTAGTAATAGTGTGATTCCAATCTTTTAACATCATACCAGATTCAACAAAACAGTAAACTGCAGAGCACAGATCTTCTTTAATTAAAGGCTAAAAATGTTGGAAAAAAAGTGGAGGCATACTATCTTCTGCAGGAGCTTTGATTGGCTCATAGAAAACAAGCATTCTTTAACTCCTCCACTTTTGCCACCAGACCAGAGTTCATTTATGCAGTAATAGTTCTAGGGATGAGTTGTAACATCTCTACTTCCCCTCTTGATCCTTCAGATTGGAAAAAGTGGTTGTAGAAATTGCAGATACATTCTCCTATCTGCTCATGAGAATTTGATACTCTGTTGTGAGCATCGACAAATCTTGAAATAACATTGACCTTCCTTCTTTGCATGGTAAGTGCATGAAAAAAATTCGTGTTATTGTCGCCTTACCAAAGAGTTCTAACCTTTTGTTGCCAGAATTCCTCTTTAGACAGACTTGCCTGGTCTAGTTCCTTATTTCCAGTTCCCCCACATTCCTCTCTCGTCCGTGTACATAATTTTTTAAGCAAAAATTTAGGTAAAGAAGAAAATGATATGTTTTTCGAAATTTTTTCTCAAAGTTGTACAATATTGATTAATCTATTTTCTAATAAATTTATAAAATAGATGCAGACAATCACTCGTTTTTTTGAGATACATTAACATTTGAGATTAATATAATTTTAGTATTTTAAGAGGTGATTACAAAAATGAATTATAAAATCTCATTAATATACTTTTTTACATTAATTTGATCAAATTGATAAAGTAAATGATATCTTTAAAATTTAAAGCAATTAATACATAAATAAATGAATAATTTAAATTAGGAAATACTTTTTAAATTTGTGTTTGATTTAAAAAAAAATATACATACCAATATTTTGTGTGTATGCTTTTGAAAGGACACTTGCAAAATCACCTTAAAGTTATTATTAAGTTTATTAAACTGCTTAATATGTTCATTTAATCCAACATCTATTTTTTTTTAAAATAACTAAATATAATCATTTAGTCCAACATTTAATTTTAAAAAATAATCTTAAAATATTGGTTTAGTCCCGCGTTTAACTTTAAAAGATAAATTTAATATAACATTTCTATGTACTAGTGTGTAGCCCGTGCTATGCACAGGTAAATAATACTAATAATCCCAACCTTCAGCGAGTAGGTTCCCAGCCTTCGGTTCTGGGAGTTTGATTAGAACATGATATTATTGGAGTATCGTATCCCCGTCGAGTCCTAATATAGGCTTACGGCCTCTTTCATTGTACCAAAAAAAATAATAATAATACTAATATTAATTATAAACTAAATATTAGGATAAACAATACTAACTATAATTTTAAATTAAAGATGTGGGGTTACATGTGATAAAATTTACTTTATATAGTCTATTGTAACAATATAAAATTATCTTATATAAAGAACATAAAAAAATTTATGTCTAAAATATTAAAATTGAGAGAAGATTTACATATTATATATAAAATAAATATTGAGATGATACCGAAAATTATTTCGTCATCAATTTGAGCATAAAATAAACAGAGGCTTAATAACTCCATGCTTTATGCATATGCTTCATTTATCAATTTTATATAATAATTTTAAATTCTCATTATCAAAATTTGTATTCAAATGTATAAAATAAACGGAGACTTAACAATTCTACGCTGCATATACTTCATTTATCAATTTTATGTAATGTTTAAAATCTCGTTGTTATTAAGATTTTTATTCAAACACGTATCAACAAAGTAAACATCTTTGAGATTTATGATGAAATACGAATAAATGATTTCTTTATAAAAGAAATCTGTATTTATTTGTTTTTGAAAATCAATGCAAACTCACAGAGAGTTTTTGTTCTTAACAAACTCCTACAATTCTAATTAAATCATATTATTCCAATTTGAATTTCATGATGATTTTAAAATCTGTACACGTGGTCATAATCTATATCAAGTAAACAATCCCCATAATTTTAGAAATCAGTATTTATGTGTTTTTGAAAATCAATGCAAATTGGTTGATAGTTTTTTCTAAGAAACTCCTACATTTCTAATTAAATTATATTATTCAATTCTATTTGAATACGAATTTAAAGTTTCAATTTGAAAATAAATTTAAAAATCTGTACACTTGTTGATAGTCTTTCAAGTAAACATAGTCCCAATTTTTTTTTTTCCGTTATTAAGTTTTTTATTCCAACAAATGATGTGGTGAAGATTTATTAAGTGAGTACCTATTATGTATGGATTAATATCCAATGTTGTAGCATACATTTTTTTTAATTGCATAAATATAATTGTGTTTTTTTTCTTTGCATGGACGGTATAATTAGTGCAAGTTAATTAAATGAAGTTAATTTTTTAATATAATTCATTTTTTTTTACTAAAATGAATGATGCAAACTCGTACCATTTTAAATTCTCCACAATTTGAATTACTCTTTAACTTTTGAATACTGCTAAATTTCATATCTATCATTATTTATGCGGGCAATTTTGTAGGAAAGTTATTAGGAAATTGTTAACATTTGAATTTGAATTAAAGATTTGCATGAAAATTATTAGGAAATTGTTAACAATTGAATTTGAATTAAAGATTTTTTTTATTTTTTTTTCTGTTTTCCCTATAAGTTTGTTAAAGCAACCATATTTTATTTAAACTTCTATCCCTTCCTTATTTAGAAATTTTGAAATTTGTTTTGCTTGCTATATTTAGTAAATAGTAATTCTTTTTATATAAGTATAGATTACACAGGTTGTACACTAGTGAGAAGAATAAACTACAAATCAATTATCTATAAATAGTAAAAATAAATAAAAAAATGTAATTAACAAATAAATAAGGTTAAAAGTGTGATTGCACCATAATATGTCATGGTATTATTGTCGGCCCAATTCAAAGCCCATAAAAATTACGCATATATGCTGTGCCGCATATGTTTGTTTGAGCTCCCATAAATCACTGAGCTCAAAATCCCAATAGAGGAGCACGGCGTAAGACAAAAGCTTGAGAAGAAACAACACAATAAACCTCGACGCTTCCGGCGAGCAGTTCACTGTTCATTTCCGTTCCCCTGAGGCAACACCGCAGCCTTCACAGCCAACTTGGTTGCACGGTCTAGGATCCATACAGGTAAGTTCCAATTTCCCTGTCATTTCAACCCTAATTGCCCTTGTGATCGAATTGAATTTCCCGTGAAGTATTTATTTTGAAATATAGTGAGTTGATAGCCCTCTTTTTCTTTGTTTTTGTGCAACGTGTTGAGGATTTTTTGTAATTCTTTATAATGTTAAGATGGTCGATAGCTTTGCTGAAATTGTGAAATATGTGATATATTTTCTTGTATATGGTTATAAAAATTTTGTGCAATCTTCATGTATTGAGAGGGTTTGAATTGAATGTTTTAGCGGTTGATTATTTTTTCAATGATTATGCTTAATAGTTTTTTCGAACTGGAGTACGCAGAATGTGCATTTTATGTTCTGTTGTTTAGAGGCTACAATTATTTTAGGTGGAATTCATTGTGGAGTATCATTCATTGAAATATTTAAACATGTTTCTTGAGTATTATATATTCTGTTGGAGAATATCGGTCTGTGGATTTCTGTATTCCGTATTTCACACACAGTTTTATGCACTAGATGCTCCTAAGGTTTAGTATGGTTTTAGTACCCCCAAGCATCCACTTTATGCATGTGCATGTATAAAATTAGAGAAATAGGAATTGTGTAGGTTGTGCTTTTATCTCCATGTTTTTCTTGTTTGAAAATTTATGTTTTCTCTTAATTTTATTTTAGTTTGGAAATTCTTTGACGTCAAAGCATATTGCAGCTTTTTCCATAAAATGGAAGGAGGAGAGAGCTTACTAGACACACTTTTCGATGAGGAAAGCTTCGAGGATGCACGGGATGTTGAAATGATTGATGCCGAAGAAGGTGAATTAGTCGAAATGGTTTCAAAAAATGAAGCTAGAGAAAAACTCGATGTTGATGGTAATCAAATAAGTCAAGAAACTAGCAGGAGAAAGAGTAGGAATAAGAAGAAGAAAAACAAACGAAAGAGGAGTAGTAGCACGGGTCCAAGTGTAACTAACATCAGCAGGTTTAATATTTTTGCAGCATTACTTGGTTTCAGTTTCATGAATGAATTAATCCATGTTTAACATGAGGTGGTGGGTTTTTGGATAGAATCTGAATGTGTTAGATACTTATTCCTAAATTCTTTTACAAGGGTAAATCCAGATTTATGAGCTGTTGTGTAGTACCATAAAAGGCACTTTTCTTCAAAATAATACATGTAATGTGTAGATCTGCTGGAGTTTTATATTTTTGCTTCATCTTTTATGATAGCTTCTATTTGCCACACCTTACTTGCACGTTTTGACAACTGTGTTATTTGTATGCTTAGGTTTGTGATGGATGCATGCAAGCGATTGAAAGAGAGAAAGCATTATCTTATGTGGACTGCTGTAGGTTGTCTTGGTGTATCAGCTTTGAGTGATCTTGTTAAAGAGGTAAGTTTCTTTCTGAATTTATGCATACAGTTTTATGTTAGCCGCTATGCTATATCCCAACTGACGAACCATGATAGTGATTTTAAATTACGTCCAACTTTGTTTCATTTGACAATATGCTATGCATGTGTGGTGTAAAGTTAGTATTTGTTGTCGTTTGGGGTGATTCTATAGCTAAACTATTTATATAAGAATTTGTGTTTGGTTTCACCTGCAATCCGGTGTGGTCCATGATTTCCATTAAAAAGACTTGAAAGTGTAGATTGGATCATGACCCATGCAATGCTTTATCTATTGTGTAATTCTCCAAATGAAATATAACTTTCCTCATGATTATTTTATCTTGTCACATTTGAATCCAGTTGTACACAAAATTCCAGCCCAGATTATGACCATATGTCATTACTTCAGATACATCACATTGTGGATGAACTTTGATATGTCTTTGCATGCAGGTTTGTGAAAAAAATAAAAAGAGTTGTTTAATCTTTTTGGCTTTGTTCAGATCACATTGCTGAGATCCCTTTTGCGTTGTTGTTTTATACCAGAGGGGTTTGTTTGTTTGCATAACTTGTAGGATTTCCTAAGTGGCATAAAGTTAATGCGGCTGATCTCGTCTCACATTTGAATGATCTCTAATCTCCCTTGTCCCTGATATCATTGGTTTTTGGTAAACATCAAAATATTTCACTTTGTAACTTTTCTAATAGAGGTGATTAGGTAAGATTCTGGTTAACCATCTTACTCTGCTTTAAGGAGCTTTTGAGCTTTTCCTCCTTGGTCGTGACTCTCAATATTGTCTTCTTTCAATCACAGATCCTTCAAGCTGAAGTACTTGCTATCATGCACATGAAACTTCCAACTGAGATTGGTCTTTATGAATTACTTCATAAATTTTATTAAACCAGGTTGACTCATGTGCCTTTATGTTACACTTAAAAACTGTTTGCATTCATGGTATGTGATAAATAGAACTTATTCAACTCCTGACAATTATCCAAAGAAAGGTATACTTGAAAATTGGGCTGAAATTGGAAAATTGGGTGTGTGGGTTAAATAGAATTTCAGTCCTGCCGTTTTGTAGCTACTGATGTGGTTGAATATTTGAGGGACTTCAAAAATCTTTAGTTAAAGATGTTCTTGACTCTTTAAGGACCACAGATAACAGCGGAGATTAATATAAAATGAGGACTTTGTGGGCTAGAAAATACACGAGTCAGTGATCTGTAAACCTGTTGAATATTTTCAATTACATCCCTTTCTAATTACCAGATGACCGAATAATTGTTGATGATTATACTATTTAATAGGGGAGAAATATCTTACTGGTTGTGGTAACGTGAACTATATTCCGGTGTGAGATCAAACTGATGTTTCAACTTTCATTTTTTAGGTGTATGAAGATTTCATCTTTTCTCATCTGATGAAATTTAGAAAA